AAAATAATAAACCGAGGCATAATCCAGAATTTTACCATCCGAGTGTACTCGTCGGATTAGCTCAATTACAGGATTTTTAATACCATTTTAACTGGTCAAATAGAGGTATAATCATTTTAGTATGTTGTCCAAAAAAAAATCATTTTAGTATAATCTTTGAAAAAGTACCAAATGAGTAAGTAGTTTATAAGAGAAATTAATTTGGTGTTAAAAAACAAAACAAAAAAAAAGATAAGATTAATTTGCAATATCTCTTTGTAATTAATAATAAATCATAGACTATGGTTTTTTGTTCTCTCCTCTTTAATCATTATATCAGGAAAGAAATATTTGGTGGAGGTGTAAACTGCTTGGATTTAAAATTAAATTTGACAAAGCACCATACTTCTTGCTGCCTAGCCTATCCTGTTCTTTACTGTTTTTTTGGCCACTTATTAGGTTTATTTCATTCTGAAAACTTCAGTTAAAACTATATTTGTCAAATAATTATTGTTTTAAAAATGATTTAGTTGTGTTCTAAATTGCTTTTCCGGGTTGCTATTCCTAAGAAATTGCGGGTTACATCGATATAGTTTTCTTTATCTTCCACAACCATACGAAAACTAGAATTCACTTGTTCATATATCAAATTTATCATTGACAATTAGACGGTAATCTAATTACTTTTTTATATAATTTAGGTGATCTGGATCCCGAGGGACCGCTGACTCTGACCTATGGGATCTCCGCTTCATCCTCTGCAAATGACCGGAAACACCGACACTGAAGATCAACGTACATCCCACTTTCATCGACTAATCCTGAGGTCCAGAGAGACCATGTAAGTGCTCCGGTAGCCAACCCGACTCGAATTCAAGGGGAGAAAGAAGTGGAATCAACAGAAAAACTTCACACATAGACATTCATTTACCAACTAGGCTAACGCGGATTGGTTGTAATCTAATTAATACTACATGTATCAATTTCGGTGGAAGGTAACTAGTCCGGCCAATAGAACATGCTACTCAATATGTCGGATTCTGCATTGACTTGGAATCAAGTTGGATGGGTTTTATAGATTAAATAATTTAGATTTGTGGAATAATTTAATTTTATAAATAAATTTGTGTATTAATAGTTATTGTGGCCCTAACGGGCGGTAGTGAAAAAAAATTGGCCCTTCCAAGGTGCCTCATGGCAAGGTCAGCAAATGGGAACTGTGTCACATGTTGTGGATAGTATTTTATTTATAATTTCGAAAAATAATTGAATAAATACTTATAGTGTTAATTAAATTTGTTCCCTGTGAAGATAACTGAGAAATTGACTTTTGATCATGATGGGGCCCACAATAATAGAAGTTCGTCATTTGCAACTCCTCTACGTTTTAACTTC